GATGCCCCAGGCTCTCCTGTCCTGCCCATGTCCCTGTCCCTGTCCGTGCATTCCCTTGGGCAGTGTGTGCTGCTGTGTGTGTGCCCTCGGGGCCAGGGGGCACTGAAAGCCTCTCCTTCTCCTTATACCCACACCAAGTCACTGCTGTGGCTGTTTTGTCACTCTGCTGGTCTCTGCTGCTCCACTGCAAGGCTGCAGCTTTGGCCCAGGAGTCTGTAGGGAGGCCCCACCTGGAATCAAGGGCAGGGCTGCACATCCACGGGCTGTCCCACCAGCTCTGTTCTGCTGCTGGAGCTGCCTCCCCACCTCGGCAGCCAGGGCTGTGTGCTCTCTTTGAATGCTGGTAAAAACAGAGAGCATTTCCTTATTGTTAGTGGTGGAAGTGCTTCCCACTGGGATGTCTTTTAGATGCTCCCTCAGCTGTTATCCTCTGGAAGGAGACAAGAGATTTTTGCCTCCTGTGCACTTTACTCATTGGATTAAAGATAAAATTGAAGGTTTCCTAAAAGACTGGGTAGCCTTAAAAATTAATGAATACTTGGGATTAAAGACCCATGAGATAATTTATTTTTTCTAATCCTGTTTAGAAGTAGCTGTTGAAATAAATGGATTTACTGGTGGAGTTAAGAGCAAAATGTGAATCTAGAAAATCTACAAGGTCTCATTGTACATTTACCTTTTGAGTTGGTAAAGTCTGAGGATCAGGTAATTAAATTCATGAGTCAGGGAGGAGACGAAAGTAGGTTGTAGGAGTTACCATCCTTCAAGAGCATTAAAGCTGCAGAAGGAGTTGACATTTCTGTGTTACCCAGGTGAACTTGGCCATGGCATTGTGTCCCCTTTCCTCATGTGACAATGTGCTTCTGAGGTGAAGGCACCATCGGAGCAGTTGTGATTTTTTGTGTCGTGAAATGATGCTTTGCCACTGTGCTGCTCTTGCAGGTTGGTTTGGGTTGGTTTTGGGTGGTTTTTAATGTATTAATAAAATAATAAAGCCATACAGTGCTTCCTTGGGAGAAGGGAGATGTGGTCGCCTGCTGAAGCTGCAGCTCTCTGCTGCTAAAAGCAGATGGATTTGTGTGTCCTGTCCGGGGATTCTCCCAATGCACCTGTCAAAAGAGGATGAGTCTTGCTGGGAAGCTTAAAATTCCCTCCTTCCTGGCATCATGTCAAGCAATGTCTGCACCTCCTGCAGCACAAGGTGTGAAGATAATTTTCAGCCTCCTGCATCAGCATCCTTTTAATTGCAGAAAACGTGGCTTCCAAAACACCAGGTGGAGAGGGGGATCTGTGGGGATTCCTGTGCAGAAAGGAGGAGTTGAGGAGAGCAGGGATGGGCCAGGTGTCTGCCTTCCATGAGGATATTCCCTGTGCCACATGTGCTGCCAGCACAGCCGCTGTCCCCAGGTGGTGAGGGAGCTCTGCAGTCAGGGAGGGCTGGGCTGTCAGCAGGAGTTACAGAGGGGGTTTGATGGCACTGGAGGATGCTGTGAGCTGTGCCGTGGTTCTGGGCAGCAGAGCCTCAGTTTGCTTCCTCTGCACATGGGCTCTGAGGACGTGTTCTGCTCCATCAAACCTAAAGTGACAAAACCATTTGTAATCTCTCATTACCAGCCCCTCTGGGTTTTCCTTCCACACCTCCCTCGTGGCATTGTTCAGCAGCCAATAACTTCCTGCTCTGGCCAGCTATGCTTTAAAATGAAGTTTTAGGAATTAGCTGAAATATTTTACTCAGGGATCCACAGGAAAAAGAATTAGGTCAGATCTGAAATATTGCTGCTAATGACTGAGTAGCCTTTATTAATTACTTGTGCTTGATTGCAATTTGCCACAAGTGGGTATATGTGCTTTTACCCCTCTGATTCTCTCCCCCACCCCATGGGATGTAAGGAAAAGGGCTGTGAGGGGCTTGGTTGCCAGCTGGGGTTAAACCATGACAGTGCAGCCAAAGTTCATTATCTACATTACTTCCTAGACAGGAAGTGGTTTCTCACAGTAAGTAATAGCTTGAAAATATGTTGCAGAAGGCACCTAACTCTGTGCACAATTCTTTTCTTCTAAATTATTTAGATGTTGAGAGTGACTCTATTTAACTCTTGTGTATGCAAAAAAAAAAAAAAAAAAAAAAAAAAGGGCACTAACACTTTAAAGGGAATAAAATATTCCTCTCTGATCCCCCTTGACAGGACAGTCAGAGCAGGCTTTGTGTTCCTGCAGGTATTTAAAGTTTGCTGGGGTAACCAGCCACTCCCAGGGTTCACAGCACAGCCACCCCATCCATCCTCCCTGCAGCACAACAAACATCAGCTCACCTTCCTTGGGGTCCCACCAACCTGAGCCCGTGCCAGGCAGCTGTTTGGCTTCTTGGTGGTGTTCAGAGCACACACTTGGCTTTCTGGCAAGGCCTGAATCCCCTCCAAAGGCAGGGACCCCCAGTGTGCCTGGCCAGCCTGCAGTGCTGTCAGGAGTTGTGCATGGTTCATGTTTTAAATGCCTGAAGCCTGAATCTGTAACCCAGGTGTCCTTCCCGTCATGCCTGCTCTTCTCTTTGATTTACCCCTTATGGATGAAAATCCTTAGTATATTAAATAAGTACTTGACCATCTTTCTTTGTGCATAATGAGGAAGGTTTCTCAAAAGTTTTCTTGCAAGTGGATTCCCATGTGGCGCCTGTTAGTCACAGCTAATTACAGAGGTTGGTGAATGAGGAATTCATCTGCGCTCAGGTTCCCCTCCTCCTCCTTCCACAGTGCTTCCGAAGAAAATAAAATAAAATTCCTGCAGACAAATCCAGGTTTTTCTGTGGTCGTGGTCTCCGAAGAGCTCCAGAGACATCACAGATGTGGTTTCACATTTCAGGTTTAACTATGTTGTAATAACTACAGTCTTATCTGCAGGAGAAATGCAAGTGGGGAAAGAATCATTAATTGACAGTGAAAAGTTTGGCTCTGTGTGTTTGTTTGTTTTAAGCAACTGAATGTTTAACCAAACGATATTTTAACTTCTGCCGGCAGCCCTGAAGTTTACAATAATCTCCATAGGTTAACACCTAGGAATGTTATAGGAAGGGATATTTTAACTTCTGACTGCTTACAATATTCTCCATAGGTTAAAACCTAGGAGTGTTACAGGAAGGGGAACTTGGATACGTGCTTCAGGAAAGCCAATCCTAGGAAAGCAGAAATTCTCGTGGTTTAGCTAAAGCCAAGATAACAAGCTTCAGTTTTAATTCAGCTGCGCCCAAACCCCCTGCAGGATGCACAGACCTTGCTCTGCAGCACAGGAGGCTTTTTAGGTGCCTCGGTGGGTGCAGAGCAAGGCAGCTGTGAGAGGTGAAGCCTCGTGGCTGAGCACACAACTCCCATCAGACCTTTGACTAAAGTCTAATTTTCCTGTCTTTTGTCAGTGTTCATTCAGGAAGTCTGCTAGCTTGAATGAGTTCCTGTGTGTGTGTAGTATGAGCATTATCCTGCAGGACTACATGGGATATGTCTATTATTTGTCACAAAGGCACCAGTGACCTTCCTGCCCCTATATTAGCAGCGCCTGCTGTTTTTCCATACTGCCAGTTGTCAGGAATGCAGATCATCCACAGAGTTGGGTACAATCCTCATTGGTCAAATTATTGTCTCAGCAAAACAAAATGCTTTAATTATAAAAAAATAAAAGTTAGAGATGTCGTCTCAGCAGGACATTCCCACTCAATGCATATTTGAGGCTGGAAAAATGAATAATTTAGTGGGGAGAGGAGGCAGATTACATAATGAAATTACACAGCACTTGAATTATCTCTGTTTTAACAGGTATGTTTTTGGGGTTTTTTTTGAAGTTGGTTTGTGGTTGTTTTTTGCCCCCAGTTTTTGTTTTCTGTTTTCAGAACTGCAGCACACAGAAGACTTCAGGAGTAGCCTGAACTTTCAGAAATATGACCAGGGCTAGGACAAGAGAATCCTACCTAGAAAACAAAGTCTAAAACTGAGCTCTGGGACTCACACACACAGATGCAAACTCTTAAAATTAGTACAATACTAAGAGCTGTATGAAAGGTCATCAGTAACAAATCTAAATATTCCTGTATTTTATCAGAGCAATTGTTTCTGTGTACTTATTTGATAGGGAAAGGCTTTATTATGATAGACCTGTATCAAAATTACATGTTGAAAAAGCTATATATTAAAAAAGTGCTAGGAAATGTTCTTGTCATTGCTACATGCTTGGGTTGGTGAATAAACCAGTGTCTCAGAACATCTCTGTGCTCTGCTGGAGAGCACTGAGGGTGTCAGTTTTCCTAGAGAAACATTAAATGAATTCTACGTTATAATATCCCTTTTAAAAAAATCACTGTAAGGCTGAACATTGTGTGAATGTATATTTCTTGTATTATTTTTATTGTGTTTTCTTTTATTATTTTTGTTTTGTTTTTTCTTTATCTCTAGGAGGCTCAGGGGTTAAAGCCCAGTTGGATGACCGTGTTTTGCTATTAAAATTGCTGAAAGGAGTAAGGTTGAGTTTAGTGAAATGCCACAGTGGCACAGATGGTGCTGCCCCATCCAGCCTCTTCTCTGAAAATCTTGAAACTGTTTCAACTTGTTTCAACTTGTTTGAATCTTGAAACTGATTTTTGCCTCCAAAAAAATATTTGGGTTGTTTTGCTAGTTAGCATAGGGAAAGAGTTTGAACATTCCCAAACTGTGATAAAAAGCTTGAGGTTTAGGCTTTGTTATTTTAGTGTTTTTCCCTTTCTCTCTAGTGAGTAAATGCCCCCAGGGCTGAATGCACACAAAGTACAGAAAAAACATCAGACATTAATCTAAATTCAAATGTGTATTTTAACATATGTGTGTATATGGATCAGTGTTTGTCAGGGGCACCCCCTTGAAAAAGGCTGTCTGCAGATAATCTCTGAAGCACAAAATTGTTTTAATTCAGAAAAAAAATGGAGAAGGGAAGAGATTTTTTTTTATTTCACACTGATGCAGTTTGTCTTATTTTCCCCAAAGGACACCCTGGTTTAATGGATGGGGCTTTAATCTACCCAGAGGTCAGTCTTTGCTAGACAAGTGGAACCTTATTCCTGAGGGAATTGATATACTAATGACACATGGACCTCCCCTTGGTAAGTGAAACAGAAGTTCTATGTGATTTTTTTGCATGAGAATTTTACTTTCAAAGTTGATAATGCTGTAAGATATACTGTAATTGCACCCAGAGTAAAAATTGTGGATTGAAAAACTTTCTGAAAGAAGTGGAAAATGATGATTAGGCTTAGCTGATCTGTTGAGCTTCCATAAAAAAATCTTGATTTTTTTTTTATTAAATTCAAGTTAGGGAAGATCAAATATCTGACACCATAACCATTATAGTGTGACATTTTATTTAAGAATATATTCATCTGACAAGCAGTTTTCAATCCCATATGACTTTTTAGAGATTGACTAAAACTTTTGAAACCTTTTCTCACTACAGTGTCATGTCATTTGAAGGTTTGAGAGGAGCAGTCAAGAGTTTGGAACTATGTAGTCACATATTCTCCTTGATAATGTCCTTGTAAACTTAGAATATATAAGAATAGTTTTAAAGGTATTAATTGTCTTATAAAAAATTTGTGAAGGAATAAAATTATGTTCTTAGATAATTGTTCCTAACTTGATCTAATGACAGGTGAGCACCAGTGTGTGAATGCATAATTTGTTTCTTCATTAGGTAGCTGAAGTTCCTCATTTAGTTGAGTTTTGCTTGTCAGTGTGAGTCATTGGCTGCTCTCAGTTTTGAGATGCAAACTAAGCTCTGCTAGGCTCAGCAGGACCCCAGGACACTCATCCAGCAGAGACAGGAGTGCTCAGTTTTGGCAGCTCAGGAGCAGTTCAAGCCCTCCCTAGAGCCCTTTGGGAAGTCCCACTGTCCTGCCTCCAGCCTGTGCCCCACAAGGCACAATAATGTATTTTTTACTGCTTTTCCTCCATGTGGCAGGCAGCCTGGGACTGTGGCTTGACCATCTCAGCTGCTTTTCCAACAGCTGAGCCTCTTACAAATACCACTTCTCAGGATTAGGAAGTGTGGCAGTGTCTTCATTGCCCTTACTCTGAGAGCAGTGATTTTTGTCAGGGTTTTACTGAGCTCTGGCAGTCCAAGGGGTCACACAATCACAGGAAGTGTCCAAATCACAGTCACTTGCTACATTAATGGCAGTAAATATGTAAAATCTGCTCAGAATTGCATGGTGCCACTATAAACCAACATTTTAAGTGCTTCCAGGCTGGCTCAGTGTTCTTTTAGAGCTTCTTGGTGACTGTGGAGTCAGGAATTAATGCATGCTTATGTTTTTTACCACAATTAAGAGTCAGCAATCCAAGCTAAGGGGAAAAAAGAAAAGTCCAGAAAGTTTTTGACCAATGTACTTAGTACTCCTTTTATATTCTGACTAGTTTTTTAACATTATTTAGAGAATGTTGTAAGATGATCAGCAAATTCCCTTTAACCTTCCTGGAGCTGCCAGTGTGCTGCAAACCAGGGCCTTGAACAGCACTCTCTTAATCACTCAATTTTCCCAAAAAATAACCAAAAAAAACCAACTCCAAGTGTGTTTGTTATGTTTCATGGGTGCTTGTTTTAAATGGGTTGTTCATCCATCTGCTCTGAACTGAGTTCATACAGAAATACAGTGATGCAGCAGACACTAATGAGTGCTGTAATTGAATAAGCCTGCCTAAATTTTGTGTTTGAAGGAGATAATGAAGTTCAGTTTCAAAAGGCTGGCACTGTATCTCAGCTACAGACACAGATTAGGTGTCAGTACTGTGCCTAAAATGAGGGGCTCCAGGTCTCAGCCTGTGTGATAACATTGATAAAATACTGCTTTTTAAATATGTGTTAACTTATTAAGTGAATATTGGGGGAGGTAGAGCTGTAACTGGACTCTTTGGTCACTCTAAAATTTAGCCAAGTTCATGTCCCAGCATGTTTTTGCCCAAGTCAGTAGAATGGTGCTGCAGCTGGATGTGGCTCCTGAGTTCCCTTTCACTGCCCACCTTGCCCTGCTGATCTTTTCCACACCAGTCCAGGCAGCAGGCTCCTGCAGGGACTGATGGCAGCTTCTGTAATAATTTTCCTGTATGTTAATTTTTCTGCACTGGCTTGTTGGGAGCTGGTTTGCACTTTTTGTGTGGCTTGAGGCTGGTGATGAGGACTCAGAAGTGACCTGATGCTCCAGGAAATGTGGGAGTCTGTATTTTAAATCTTTGGCATTGAGTCGTAGCTCAACTCATCTTCCTGAGCTGTTTTCATTTCTGGAGTAACTGCTGTAAGAGCCAGGGGAAAGGGAAGAAAAATCTGCAGCAGTGCCAGGAAAAATCTGCAGCAGTGCCCAGTCCCTGGGGTTTCAAGGTGGAAGAAACCTATAGTTCAAAAAAACAAATCACATCCAGAAAAAAATATTAATGCAGATGGAGGGAGGAAATCTTAAGGAAGACAAAGTGACAGTGAAACATTTCTTAAAAGCCATTGTGTGCTTTAATGGAGAGGTTATGACTGGAGATAATGCAATAAAACCAGTGTGAATTATGACTTCCTGAAAGATTGGGTGAAACCTCACCCGAAGAGGGAAAATGCACAGCACTGATTGCTTTTTGCCTTCAGGTTTTCGAGACTGGGTTCCCAAGGAGCTGCAGAGAGTGGGCTGTGTGGAGCTGCTGAACACAGTGCAGAGGAGGGTCAGGCCCAAACTCCACGTCTTTGGTGGGATCCATGAAGGTAAGGAGCAGAGCTGTTCCCTGCTGCAGCTCAGATTTCCAGGAGCACATTTTGGTGGTGTGTTGCAGTGGGTAATGCCATATTGGATTAAAGTAGGGACAGAGTTCAGGGAAGTGATTGCCTGCGTGGCACTTTGTAAATTTATTCCAGAATTAAAGCAGGCTGTTTCAGGAATGTGTGCTACATTTAGCCACCTACATCTTTCACTGTACAGCAAAGGTTGTTCCATACAGGTTATTTGAAAGCAATTCAGATTTTGACAAACTTGGTTAGAGAAACAGATGAGATTCCCCACACTTGCGTGCCAAAATGAAAATTATCCCCATTACTCCGAGCACAGGAGCTAAGAAAGATGCTAGAGGAAAAAAAAGGAATTGTGAAGAGAACTTGCTGCCTCTGCTCACCTCCCTCAAGGTATAAGGAGCAGCAGAAAGGAGGGCACCTCGAATTAGTCTCATGTTTTGGAAGAGATATTCCCACTCTGCCATTGCCAGCGCAGCAGAGTGTGAAGCTTCAGAAACAACAAGCTCAGTTTGTGGCAGTGGAGGAGAAGAGACTGAGAGATTAAATCCATTCTGGAGATACTTAAATATTTAATACAATTTTGTGGCTTTCATGTGGCTGAGAGACAAACACTAGGAGTTCTGCCTGGGAGAGAGTGCAAGACTTCATGACCCCGGAACTCAAAATTACACATTAAATGTTTTATATTCTCCCCCTGGAGGTTTCTCCATTGTCTCTAACTAGGTTCTCCATAGGCCTAAAGATTTCGAGGACTTCATAAAAGCCAAATAAAAAGAGGACAGCTTTCTCTGCTAGTGGTGTTGGTTTTTCTGAAGCCCTTGTGACTTCATGCAATGATTTCCATGCCTGGCATGTGTAAATAAAGAGTTTATACTGGGAATGCTGACATGACCCTCTGCATAGAAGCATAAATAACAGTCCTTTAATATACCCATTAAAAAGATTGGGTATTTTGTACAAATATTAGTCCTTGCATATTAAAAATAAATGAATATGGCAAGACTCCCAGCTAAAATGTGTAAATTGTAAATTTGGGTGGTGAAACTTGTGGTTGTAACAGTGCTACGGGTGGGAGAGGAGGGTGTCTGAATGTCCAAGAGCATCGTTATGAGAAAGCACCACATTTAAATTTCCTGGGAAAGGCAGCAGGACATATTAAAAGTGAGCATTCAAATAAATTCTTGTAAAAATGCCAGCAAAAATTTAAACTAATTCCAAGTACTTACACAGAAGACATAAGAATGGCTTGTTTCAGTACCAGGAAGAAACAGCAAAGTGTTGAGAGCATTATCTTAGGGTGCAATTAATTTTTATCCAATCCCAGCTGAGATGAACATGCACCACACTCTCAGGAGCCAACAGAGGCTATATGCACATTTTGGTGATGCAGGTTTTTTTTCCCTGGTTGATAAGCAAAACAACCACAAACAAGGTTTTTCCCACCATGAGATGATCTAAATCAAAATTGCCAGTCTAAATAAATAAAGTGATACAGGTGGACAGTGCAGCAATTCTGAAGTGATTATTCTTTCTGATAGGCACTGTGGGTAGCTGTATTTATCTTGGCTTTCAGACAGCAGTGATGTGTACTGTATCATAATGGTTTAAAAGAAAAAACCTTTTTCCTCTGTGGGTTTGCAATAGGAAGCTTTCTTCCTCCATGAAACTCTGGGGTTTTTTTTCCGTTTTTTTTTTTTTTTTAAAGTACTTTTGGGTCAAATACTTACTAGATGTTTTCAAGCTTCTTTGTAAGCTTTTTGTGGATGTCAGCTGAAAACACACACTCTTCCATAAAATTGTTGTAAAATAGATATATAAATTAAATAATGGAGCCATGGAATGGTTTGGACTGGAAGGGACTTTAAGGATCATTTCATTCCAAACCCTCTGCCATGTGCAGGTATATTTTTCACTATCCCAGGCTGCTCTGAGTCCTGTCCAGCCTGGCTTTGAACACTTTGGGAACCTTACCTGGGCAGCCTGAGGATGTGCATGTGTGTGTTTTTAACCTGCTGAAGAGTACCTAAGGTCTCAGAAGCTGATGCCCCAGGTTTCAGCTTTTCTATTTTTCACATTCTGTGCTGCTCTAGTGTGCACTTCTGAGCTTCACATGAGGGGATGCTGAGCTCTCTGCACAGAGCAGGGACACAAAACAATTCCTTCTCCAGCTGGGCACCAAGGACAAATGATCCAAATCTCAGCCCCAAGAGCACAAACAACGTGGGCTGGAGAGAGAAAAACAAGCAGGATGGGACTGCCTGGGCTGGAGCTGGAATGGGACAATGAACTCCAAGGTGCCAATGGAGCAGAACTGATCCCAGGGAGAGCCTCCGGGAGCGCTCGTGCATTTTGGGGCCATTTTGGTTCATCTTGGGTGCAGCCCTGGCTGGGCTCTGGTGCTGCCCAAGGGGGATCCATGGAGGAGATCCTTTTAATCAATCCCTGCTTTATTCTTTAGCTCTGTCCAGCCTCTGTTCCAGGGCAGCCTTCACAAGGCAGCAAAGCCAGTGTGAGCAGCAGCTGGGCAGTGTTGGGATGAGGCACTGGGTGATGAGGGCCAGCACAGGGGAGATGACAGGTTCTTTTTTTGAGAGGGGGTGTTGAGGCTAAACCAAAGTTACTTCATAAAACTTTGCTTCTGAATGGTCTTTTACTTCTGACAGGCATGCAAGCTATAGCTCACTACTTAGAAAAAGAACATGTCTGGTTTGTGTGTCTGCCACACCCAGTTGCAACAGAGGATTTTCCAGGGGTGACAAAAAGTTTGTGCATAAACCAAAAACACCTGTTCTTATCTCAAACACAGCCCACTGTATTTTTTTTCAATTGAGCCTTTGTGGCAGAGATGCCAGAAGGGGCTGGTATCATTTTTAAGGGGTCAATTTGTTTTTACTGCACAGCAGGGATGCCCCAGCAGCCTTGGGGTGCTCCATGTGTCCCTGGTAGTTGATGCCTTGTGAAGGCTGCCCTGGAACAGAGGCTGGACAGAGCTAAAGAACAAAGCAGGGATTGATTAAAAGGATCTCCTCCATGGATCCACCTTGGGCAGCAGCAGAGCCCAGCCAGGGCTGCACCCAAGATGAACCAAAATGGTCCCAAAATGCACGAGCGCTCCCGGGGGCTCTCCCTGGGATCAGTTCTGCTCCATTGGCACCTTGGAGTTCATTGTCCCATTCCAGCTCCAGCCCAGGCAGTCCCATCCTGCTTGTTTTTCTCTCTCCAGCCCACGGTGTTTGTGCTCTTGGGGCTGAGATTTGGATCATTTGTCCTTGGTGCCCAGCTGGAGAAGGAATTGTTTTGTGTCCCTGCTCTGTGCAGGGAGCTCAGCATCCCCTCATGTGAAGCTCAGAAGTGCACACTAAAGCAGCACAGAATGTGAGAAATAGAAAAGCTAAACCTGAGGCATCCCAGTGAGCGTGCCCCGTTGTCCCCACAGGTTATGGGATCATGACAGATGGCTACACCACCTACATCAACGCCTCCACCTGCACAGTCAGCTTCCAGCCCACCAACCCTCCCATCATCTTTGACCTTCCCACCCCTCAAGGATCCTGAAGCACTACTGGGGAAGGTCTATAAACTGCCATTTTCTAATTACAAAACTTACATTCATGTTTATTTCAAAACAGGGGCTAGGGGGGATTTTGGGGGAGCCGTGGGGGGGGGGGGGGTTTGTTTTGGGGTGGGGTTTGGGATTTTTTGTTTTTTGGTTTTTGGGGGTTTTTTTTAATTTGTAAATTGCTGGTGCAAAAGAAACAAGAAGAAAAGTTAGAGGTTGTGCTTTTTGGAAATGCAGCATTCATTTTAAATTGATAAAGCATTGTGAATTTGTAAAATGAATTTTGTTTTTCAATAAATTTGCCATTGTAAATTGTTATAGTGTTCTCAAAAGGACAGCCAAGCTTTCTTTTAATAAGTGAGAGACCTTATTTTAATATTATATTATAAGCTAAAAAATAGGCAGCATTTAAATACACCCAAATTTGCACAACTTTTGTTATTGTTGGGGTTTTTTTAAGTGTCTTCTTTTTCCCTAGGTTTAAATGTTAGCTTTTTGTCTCAATTTATATAAATTTTTTTAGTAGCACAAGCAATGTTTTGGGGTTCATTTACCTCTTGACACGTGTGCATGTACTTAAACTTGTTTCTATTCATGGTATAATGCAGCAAGGGGAGAATAGACTTCTCAGTTGTTTGTCTCTTCCTGCTTTGTAAAGACTGATCTAGATAGCCACAGCCAGTATGTGATATCTACCTTCTGTTGTTTCTTTTTTAAATTATTTTAGCTTTAAACGACTGGGGGTGAAAGCTGCAAAGAGCAGGTATTTCATGCAGTAAAAAAAAAAAAAAAAATGTAAATGCGGACTCCTTTTAAATATGAATTTATATATATATGTATTTTTTGTGCATTATAACTAAGCTAGGATTTAATATTGCCAGTATAGCATCTGCAAAATTATGCTGTACAGCACATCTAAATTATGAAGGATGTGATACATTTTTCCAAGTGCTCAAGGCCTTCAAGAGCCCGAGTTAAATCTTTGTTGTAGTTCAGGCATGTATAGAGTCAAATGGATACAATCAAGCCTAAATAAAATAAGGCTTAGTTGTCCTTTATATTTAAATATTCTTCTTGTCTTTTTTATTTCCTTTTTCTTATTTTGCACTGTGTGTAAATGCAATCTCACTAGCACAAAATATTGTTGCAGATAGTTATTTCTGTTCCACCACTGTAAATGCTATTGAGCTTTGTTCTGTTTTATGTTACCTTGTTAATGGAATTTAGAAAAGCAGTTGTTTCTTTAAATTTATTGTGATATTATATCTAGCGGCCTTTATATGCAAATAAAATTGCAAGATTTTTAAATACGTGTTTCAAGGGAAATCTGTGGGGTTTTTTTGTGGCATGAACGATTTTGGGGAGTGATGGTAAGGGTAAGTAAGAAGTTTTCTGTTTCTCAGTACATTTATATTGCTGCCCATTCATCAGCTGTCTGTTGGGTCAGTGGAGCCCTGAGTTTCCCTTCTGTTTCTTTGAGTTTCTGTGGCAGAAGGGGTTTTGTCTTTAGGTGTTGGTCTTCAGTGTGACCAAGTTTAAACCTTGTGGGACCCTGCTCCAAATGACACGAGGAAGAATCGATCAGGCAGGAGCCTTTTTGCTTCCTCACTCGGGTCATTAGCACCGAGCTGCAGGTGTCTCATGCTCACCCATTCTGGGCTAAAAAATGAATAGTCAGTAGGTGAAATACATCACTTTTTATGTGGCTCTCTTGTCAGTTTTGTGGCTGCAGCAGGGCCCACCACTGGTAGGGCAGTGGGATGACAAACACTGCAGGATGCTGGTGATGCTGTTAGATAGATAACAACACAATCTTCTTCCAAACCAGGAGCTATGGCTGCAAAAATCTGCTTTCAGACATGAGAAAATAAGGTACAGTTTGCATGAACCTGCACCCACAGTAACATCACAACTCCTAGAGAGAGACAGAGTATCCCCATTTACCTTAACAGGTTGGTAACTTTTGACATTATTTTGATACAAAGGTTAGAAAAATTAGGCAAACAAAATAGACAAACAAATCCAAGGCTCTTACAGCAGAATACAACTTAGGGGGCCACAGTCTGTATTTTGATGCAACATGCATGACACAGATCTTGGCCGAAATCTTCTAATCACATTTCTAAGTCTGCTATACCAAAGTCTTTTCTGGGGAAGAAGCTGCTGTATCTCTTAAATCTAGTTCTGGTTCTGTATGTGGAATCCCTTGTCAGGTTTCCTTATGAAATAGATAGGTGCCTTCACTCCTTAATGATATCTGCCTTGCCTTGCTGCAGTGCTGGTTATTTTATCAGCTGAGCCAAAGGAAGAAAGGTCACCAAATATTAATGCTTACTTTGGGATGTAGATGCAGGGTCTGTCTTGTGGGCTTTTTTTCAGCTAGCACTGAGAAGATGAGGAAATTGGCTGTGACAACCACAGCTGTCTACTGGCAAAGAGCTTTTGAGATGGCTGTCCTTGGAAGAAAAGCAATTCTTGGGGCACACAGGAATCATGTGTGCAGCACACCTTGGATTATTCTGTTTCACTGATCCCTTGGGTGTTGTCGCTGCATCAGGAGGAAACACCCACAGCCTCAGATGCTCTGTAGTGCCACGAGCTTTGAGGTGAGCAGAGAATAGCCACTGTATCTTGTGTTGCTCTCCAGCCTTCTGGGGAGCCTGGCACCTCTTCATTAGCTACAGCAGGAGGTCCAGGGACCAGGCTGTCACGTCTCTGCCTCTCCATAGGAAATGGGTTATTCCAAAAGCAGGATTTCCAAGCCAACAGCTTTGTTCCAGGATTTGAGCAGACTTCTGGCAGCAAAAGGAGTGGATGGCAGTGGAAGTTCACCCAGGAGCCTGCCTTGGGTAAGATGTTAAAGAAGCAGATGCTGTGAGGGAGCAGATCTGTAGCAACCTCTGGGATAAACTCCTAGCTGGTACCTGTAGCCATGGATGCCCCTAAAGGTGTGAGTCTTGGTTCCAGCTCTTTGCCACGTGGCTTTTTGGCTGTGTGGTGCAGCAGGTGTGTCACTAAGGGGTTCTGCACTGGGATACAGGGGCCGGGGTTTCTCACAACAGGCTGAGGCTTCCTCCTGCCATTTACACACATCAGGGATAGCCACTGATCATCAGTTGGTGCTGAGGCTAAATGCAGCTGTTCATTTACAGAGGTAAGTCTTCAGGGGTGCTTTCTAACCCTGGGTTTTCTCCTGGTATCTTTTTCTCTCAGGCTCTCTCAGCTTCACCTTGCTGGTGGTTCAGCACTGAGCTGGTTCTCCTCCATGCCAGGGTATTTTAAATTTTACTCCCTCAGTTTTCTTTTGTCCTTTCAAGAACTGATCTAGTTTTCCTCTTCTGAGAAAGCTCTCATTTTGGCTAGCAGCAATTACAAAAATGGCCAGAAAATATTAGCAGTTTGTCTTATTTTCTAGTTGTTCTCCTTGGAGATTTTGAAATGTATATATTATAATGTCTGTGTGTGCTGTCACAGGCAGGTAATTTTCCTGTGCTGGATGTCAGGCATATCTGACAGTCAGGGTAATTGGGACACAAAATGGTTTGTAGAGGTTTGGTTTCACAGGCAGTCAAAAGTGTGTGAGGAATCTGCTTCTTTTCAAGGCTCTTTCTCCACTGGAAGTGGCTCAATGCATGTATGCAGAACAAACCCAGGGTAATAAGTCTTCCCTTGGGGTCTGGTCCAAGCCCACTGAACTCACCAGGAGTCTTTCTGTTGACTTCAGCTGGCTGTGGATCAGACACCTGCCATCTCTCTGGGCTGTGTTCCTGCCTGTTACTCATCCTTCCAGCTGGAGAAAATGGTCCTTGGTTAAGATGCAAGAACCTCTTGGTAGGAAGAGAGACCCACCTATTGCAAGTGCTGAATCCTCCCAGGCGATGGATTAACAGCAGTGCAGTCGATTAACCTTTCTTCTTGTGACAGCAGCTCCCATCTCCTCATCTCCACGAGGCTGAGAGCAGTCAAGGCCTTCAGCAGGGGAGGGCGGAGGAGCAGGAAGCTCCCCAGAGGTGATTGGTTCCCAATTCTCTCTGCATAGTCAATTTAGTGAATTCAGCAGACCTTGGGGTCACGCATTTATTAGGCTAAGAGACTGTCAAATCAATCTGCTCTACTCCAGGCAAATTCTGCCAGGAGGATGGGTTTTGCCAAGACACTGTCTCAGCAGTAGATTGATGACTGACTCCTGGTTGAAGCCGCCTTTCTCTTTTCCATTTTCCGTGAATCAGAGTTTTTATCCTCACTGACACCAGTATTTTCTCCTTAGACAAATTTAATTAAGGAAACTCTTGGAAACTATCTGTAATTTAAATCACAGGGAGAGTTCCAAACTCTGTAGCCCTTCCACTCTGTATAATACTGACCTCAGGGCCTTCCTTGAGACCTTGCTTTTTGACCACAGGTGTTTGAATTAGGTTTCTGGAATTTTCTTTTCACCCCTTCTCTCCCTCACTCCCCCATGTCTTTTTTTTTCCAACTTAATGTTCTCTAGCAGTTGCAGGCTGGAAGGGATTCTGATTTTTATCTGCCTAACATCACAGCTTCATAATGGAGAGAGAAATGCATTGTGAAAGCAAGTGTATTTCCTTTCCTTTATACTAATCCTGACTTCCTTGCAGGTTCCTCATTTGCTGTAACCAGGCTGTTGAGCACTCTCACCAGCTAATTTACTTGAGCTGCTCAAATGAAATGGTGTTATTTATGATCAGGCTTGGACAGGGGTGTCAGCTGCCAGAGGACACCCTCGGCACCCCTGTGGGCAGGTTCCAGCTGCCAGAGCTCTGCCTGATCTGCGAAGTGCAAGGAAAAGGGAGTCTCACACCGGAGTGCAGCCCAAGTGCAGCATGGAGGACTGCAGTCAGGTTGTAACATTTTCACCTTCGCTTCCTGCCAGCCCAATCCAGGGAAAATGCAAGAGAAGTCTGAGCGAGCTCAGTGCTCTAAATCAGTTTTCAGTGATCCATATTGATTTGTTTCTTCCCCATCTGTTTATCCCTTTCCTGCCTCCACCTCTGGCAGGAGCCAGCAGTGCTGCAATGATTCCATTAGGATGTGGCTATAAGGATACATCTCATTTTGTCTTCCTTCTTGTTTTCCTCAGGCTCAATTTGCTTTCTGTTGATTATGGAATAGAATCAGAGTAGCCTTTCATTTCTTCTGGGCAGCATTTCTCTGTAATTCTCCCTGCACAGCTCAGTCACTTATTTTGTGAAGGTTTACATTCACAAAAGGGGGTGTGACAAAAACCTGAGTTTAGGATAACTGAGTGAACAGCCCACCTTCTTCTCTTCCACAAACACTTAGGTAGGTGTCAGTGGTACAATAGGGCTTGTCAGACTTAGGAGCTGAGGAGCTGGGACTGCATAAAGTCCAAGGAGTTCAGATAAATGGCAACATACTCAAAAAGTTAGGCTAGAAACCTTAGATTTAAAAGTATAAAACAAAAGACTTTGTTTTCCTGGAATTGCATTAAGATGTGTTTTTTTATTACCATTACTATTGAAGTGGTTCAGGAGTCAGTCTGTTGGGCTCTCAGTTCCTAAAGGAACAGCACCACAAATATCAGGGGTTTTACATGCTGTGCTCAAGCATTTTCAACATTCACTCTTGTGTAAGGACCGCAGCAGAATATTTTCTTTTCTGGTGAGTTACTGCAATTGCAGGAACAATGTAAGCTTTTGTATGAGCACTATCATAGATTTTTTAAGAGATCTGAAGCAGGTGCAAAATCTGCATTATTGTGAGATACAAACTGCAGCTCTGTCAGTACCACCACCTTGTTATTGGGTTTATGTTAGGAAGTATCTAGAGAATTTTGAAGGCTCTGTTTGAGCGTTATATTGACACTACAAGGCTCAAGCCCAACTCTGGCTGGGAGAGGGGCAATTCCTAAGAGGAGCTAAACTGTATTGATTAAGGTCTCCTAATCAGCAGAACGACTTTTTGCTCAAAGTGCTATTGAATTTTCTGCAGACTTGAAACTACAGAATACATAGACTTATTCATAATCAATTACATTTAGTACGAAACTTTGAAACCCAAGAGCTGTATCAGTTTAAAATGAAATTCAGGTGGTTTGGTTTTATTAGTGGTTGGTGTTGCTGTTACCAGTTTGAGGCCAGATTTTCAGATATGTTTAGGTTGCCAGTTACATGTTACTCTTAAACAGATACTTGTATCTGGAAATACGCTTTTAAAATTCTGGGTTTTGGCATTTCTTACTAAAAAAGTCCTACCCGTTGTTCTAAGATGTTTTTGGAGCTGCTGTAGGTACCAGTCAGACTTTAGCACAGTGGGTAGTCAGAGAC